TTATTGTTTTTAATATAATCAGGTTCCAAATTTAGGTATTAACATTTAATGTTATTTAGATTTGGAAACTAATTATTGTTTGAATTGAGTTTTAATTAAATAAAATGATATAATTTAATGTTGATATTTTAATTTTTTTAAAGTCAAGTTTGATATACACTTTTCTCAAATTATAATTATATTTATAATTGTTTATTATAGATTTTAACAATTTTTATGATATAGCATTGCATTTGAACTATTATATAATTAAATTTATCAGATCAATTTTGAATTAAAGTTGAAGTATAAAAAGAGAAATTATTGGGATTTTTTTTACAGAATCAATTAATGAAATCAAATTGAAATCTTGATGATTAAAATTATAATTATATTTACAATTATTTATTGAAAATTTTTTAAAACCCAATTAAGTATTTATTTGATATTTTAAAAGGATTTTAATAAGATATTGAGTATTTAATTAAAATTTATTAAAAATTTATTTTATTAAATATTAATATTTAAATTTAAAAAACATATTAAAATTTAAAATTTTTAGAATAAAATTAAACACTTTTATATAAATTAATAATGTTGGGAGTTTTGAGTATTTAATTAAAATTTATTAAAGATTTTAATAGTTTTAATAATGTAATAAGATATAATTGAATTTGAATTTGACAATTAAAGTTTTTGAATTAGATTTTTTAGTCATGCTTACTCTAATTATTATTTTTTTAATTTATATACATAACAACCAAATCTCAAGCTGATTTAATTCAATTCAATTTGATTTTAATAAAAAAAATCCCAAATTCGATGAAACGATACCTACTAGTTATAATTTTAGTCACTTTCAAATCTTGTTTGGGGGTTGGAATTTTCGATCCGGCGGTACCCAGGACGTCAGGCATTTCCTTCGTAAGGTTTAATCCCAATCCCTTCAACTTCTCTAAATTTGTTCGGATTGCACTTCAAAAGAGAGTGAATTGACTGTTGATCTGTTGTCTCCTATTCTTTTCCATCATTGCATGCAACTTTATCATTTTCATCCCATGATTGGTCGCCTTTCTTGGCCCGCAATTTGTATCAGGCACAGGGCTTCCTACACAAGACAGATTGAAAAGGAAATCTCAATAAATTGAACCGATTCATTAATAATTAGGTAAATTAATTAATAATCTCAAAGATTATATAGATTTACTGTGTCTTGATGATTAAAAAAAGATTTATGTCTTGCATACTATCAAGTGATGTGAGGGTGTGATTATTAATACAATAAAATTGTTAAATCTATTAAAACTTTAGATTTGTTTTTTAAATA